CATTATTAATTTTTTTTAATAGCTAATTGGTGGGAAGCTTATGGCAAGTCAACAAAACTTCTCCAAAAGTTTGCTATAAAGGTTTTAAGCCTTACTTGCAGTTCTTCTGGTTGTGAACGAAATTGGAGCATGTTTGAGCATGTAAGTATATACTATCTACTAACTAGGTTTGTAATTTAATTGTTAAAAGTTAAAATTTTAATTTTTTATACTTACTAGTTAAAGTTGAATTTATTGCAGCTTCATAACAAGAAAAGAAATAGGCTCACTCAAACAACTTTGAATGATTTAGTGTTCATCAAATATAATAGAGCATTGAGGCGTCGATATAATATTCGTGACACTCTTGATCCCATTTTACTCGATGACATTGATGAGAGCAACGAGTGGTTGACGGGGAGGATGGATGATTCTGATGCAGAACATGATCTAGTCTATGAAGATGATTCCTTGACATGGGGTGATGTTGCTAATTTTGCTGGTATTGGAGAGCCTAGCAGGCCACAACGGTCTACTAGATCAAAATCTAGTTCTAGTTCACGGTTACCAACAAAGAGAGCAGGAAGTTCTTCAGTTCGACTTGTGGATGAGGATGAGGATGAGGCAGATTCAGATGAGATGGAAGAAGATCCTGAGAATTATGAATCATTAAGTGACGATCAAAATGATGTTATGCTTATTGATGACGAGGATGATATTTAGATTCGTTGGTGTTGTCTTCTTAGGAAGAAATGATATCTATGTTTGTTTTAGTTTTATTTCATAATTCTCTCCTAGTTGACTTTTGGATCTTTATGTTAGTATGTTTGATTATTCACTGTTGAACTTAAGTACTTGATTTAGTTGGCTTTGACATCTTTATGTTGAATATTGAACTTAAGTAATTCATTTAGTTCATTTTTGCATCTTTATATATACTATTGCATCTTTATGTTAATATGTTTGATTATTTATATATACTTTATTAGGTGGGTTTTGTTTTTTTTTTTTTTTCAACGTGCGCCTTGCTTCAATCGAGCGCGCGCCTCGCCTTGTGCCTTGCGCCTTAGGCTCCAAGAGGCATTTACGCTTTTGTGCGCCTTGAGCCTTTAACAACTATGACCGGAACCGTATATATATATATATATTATATTTAATTATATTATATTACTAAGTAAGTTTGTCTGCCATATATATTTAATTGTATAGTCGCAACAATGAGTCAATTTTAATCATTACATTCCTCACCCAAGTGACTTGGTCCTTGGAAACCACAAAAAAGTTTTAAACCTACCTAACCTCTCATCTCCTCTTTGTGAAGCTGAAGCCGCCTCCTCCCATCTTTTTTCTCTCTCTTTTGTTTTTTTTTTTTTTTTTTTTTTTTCCAGATGAAAAACCTCTCATCTCTTCACCAAATGGTGAAGCCGCCGCCTCCTCCCATCTTTTTCTTTTTTTTGTTTTCCGATAAAAAACCTCTCATATTGCCTTTGGTGAAGCCGCCGCCTCCCATCTTCTGTATTAGTATCCTCTATTCAACTTTGATTAGTTGTTCATTGGTGATTCCAGCCTCTTATTTTCTCAGAAACACACACCATCGTGACGCCATCTTCATCATCTTCCTCAGTCAACGGTTCCGTAGAGCCGAACTGGAACCGAACCAGTTCTACGGTTCGGTTCCAATCTATACGGTTCCGGTTTTAAGAAACCATTGTGAATGGTTCCAGTTCCGGTTCGGAACCATAAGGAACCGAACCGTGTGCACCCTTGCTTGTGACTGCCCGGGTAATTCTGTCATTTTCCCCATTCATCTTCTCACTCGAGAATAAAGCACTCTTCACCTGCTCCATTGTCACGGTATCTCTCCTATAAAGCAAAGTACTGAACAAATGCTTATGAGTGGAGCGTACTGATGTCAATAAAATGACAGTTTTATCCTCGTCACTTATTTTAACACCAACGTTAGTTAAGTCACAAATAATCTTGTTGAACTCACTGAGGTGGTCATGCAAATCCACACCGTCTTTTTTGCGAAAAGAGTACAACTCTTGCTTCAAGATTAGCCGATTGGTGAGATTCTTTCCTATATAGAGATCTTCCAATTTCTTCCGCATACCCGCTGCAGAAGTTACTCCAATAACATCGTACACAACATCATCAGAGTCAACTGAATCGTACTCACCGCCTTCGAGTTGATCTTGTCCCACTTCTTATTGTCCATTCCCGTTGGTTTCTCATCCAACGCCTCATCTAAACCTTGTTGAATTAACAAGTTTCGCATCCGCACTTGCCAGAGACTGAAGTTCTTCCTTCCATCAAATTTCTCAACCACATAATTTAAGTCTGCTATAGCCATAGCTCTGATACCACTTGTTATGAATTAATCCCTTTCGTATCAACACTGATACCACTCGTTAGGAATTAATCCGCCCAATATCACACACACAAGTATGCAATGACAACAAGGAAAAATAAGTTGGAAATAACACAATCAACTAATAACAAGGTTTACACATAGAAGAAGAACCACTCACTTCTATTATAGAACAGAAAAGAATCAAAGATTACAACACTCAACAGATTACCAAGAGGTATTCCACACTCACTCACTAAAAGAAGACACTCTCTTCTTACAAAATACACTTGCTCTTGGCCCTCAATCTTTTCTCTTACTCTGTCTCACACTCAACTTCTATTCTTCACACCTTTTTTACTAACATGCATATCTATTTATAGGCAACTTTTTGCCGACTTGAGACACCAACCTTGTAGCTGGCATAAGCTATTCTATTACTTTCCGTAAGCTTTAAGTTTTCTCACTGCCTTGTACAATTCACTGCCAGCGCATTCCTTATCCACTACTTTCCCTTGTACCATTCAAAACATGACATAACCTCACCGCCATTGACTCACCATTGACTAATCAAACATATCACTCAACCAATAACATCAGCACACAAATGACACAACACACACCAATCAGAATCAGACATGTCACCTTGCCACATCATTCAACCAATTAAATTTGAGCCACTATCACATCCGCTATTTTGGTATCCACGTCATTTTGGGCATTGCTTTGATATTTAACTGGAGACCATCAGGTTCTCAGTATCTTCTTCTCCTTCATAGAGGAAAATTTAGAGTTCGAGTCACCAACGGGACAAAGGGTGCATATTTGACTTACCCAAAAATAATAATAATAATTGTAATACAGTTCTGTTAGTCCTTTAACGATTTGAAGGTGGAACTAAGTAGAAAATAATTAATGAATCATGTGTGTTTCTTTACTAGTTATGAGAAGTAGAGAAGAAGAAAAAAATTTGTTGTTAGCAAACCAACCTTAAACACTAATAACATCAAGCTGCCTAAGTGTAAAAGGGCATTGAATTTCTTGACTATTGGTGACAAACAAGTTACTAAGAATTCCTCCCAATTCCCACCATCTATGTGATCTAATCATAGAATCCCAACAGGACCACCTAACCTTGAGAAATAAGAAACTATGACAAACATGCTGTTTGACTATATCAATCGACTCGATATGGAAGAATGCGGGCAAGCCAGAGTCTACCGTAGACTCAAATGGGGGATTTCCTTGAAGCCCTAAGTGCTCTTTATATAGCCTTCAAGTCTAGGTAGTTATTTAGGTAACTACCCATGTTCATAGCCATGTCCTACTAAAAATCAGCCATGTTTGTCCACTCTTGCTTGTGCGTTCAGCCATCCATTCCATGGCCGCCATATGTCTTCCACGTAAGCCCGCTAATTACATCTACTTGAGCCCACTTTCATCATTATGCAAGTTATTTTTGTGCTTGTAATCTTCGTTTGACATGTGTCCAGACCAATACTTGTAGCCCATTCTTGTAGCAAAAAACCAGACCATGGTCCATGATTTTTAGCAACCAACTAGACCATCTTGCAGCCCATATTCCTTAAAAAATTGTTGCCAAGTGTCAAGCTGTTCTAGTGCTTCAGCCAGCTATGATTCACTCTTGTAACTGCCCATGTGTCGCTTCCCATTCCTCCCCGTCATAGCCCATGTGGCAGGTCATTATTAGCTTATTCTTAGGTCCATGCATAGCCTATTAATTTGCCTACATCACTGCTTATGTGGCTGCCCATGTGGCTGTCACATTTATGTGCAAACAATGCTTTACAAAAACCAATCAAGCGATTGTCATATGTTTGACTACATCAATCTACTAGATAAGGAAGAATGCAGGCGTGCCAGAGTCTACCGTAGACTCAACGAAAGATGTCAAACACTGCATCCCTATACTTCGGCAAGTGGCCAAAAGATCGGACAATTGTTAAAGGAAAGGATTACGCCTCTCTTGGGGTTCTAATGCCTTAGAGCAGGACTTTTGAGATTGCAAATTGATAATGATGACCAATTGAGAGCTACTCTAAACTAAGGAAATGAAGTGCGGAATTAAAGTGCAAGTAAAGTAAGGAATTGAAATGACACAAATGGAAATGAATTGTATAGAAAAGCCAAATGGAAAGGACCTGGATTGAATTAGATGGCAATAATACAATAAAATTGTTACTTTTTGTAACAATTATGTTTCACTTTGTGCCTAACTTGAGATTTCCCATTATGCTTCATTTGGATAACTCAAGTCTGAAATCACACCACATCCTAACGCTATCAGAAATTTCGACATTTGCTCACAGTCTTATTACAAAGAAAGCAAGCAAGGACAAGTAAAACGAAATTTCCCATTTCAAGCACTCCTAATCTCAGCCAATTACTTGTCTCAAGACACAATTAAGCAGGATCATCGTTTCTAGGATCCAAGTAACAGAAAAAATGGAAACAATCCATAATTTCAAAGTCTTTTCTTTGTTTAACTTCCCAAGTCAACCCAATATAGCCTCAAAGGAAATAGGAAATCCTATTAAGAGTTGTTTTATAAGACAGATAGATATATATATACACACACAAAGATAGATACATACATACATACAAACATACATATATATACATACACATAGAGAGAGAGTGAGAGACGAACCACGGTTCATGAGATACCATGGAATAGCGAAGACGACGCTGATGATGGCGATCCCAGCAAAAACGTGCTTCTTCTCGCCACTGTAGAGGTAGCGATCGATTCGTCCTCTGAACCCACTAGTCTTGCTCTCGTTTCCCATTTCTTCCCTTTCTGCGACACCAAAAACCCCCTCTCTCTTACTTCGACCTAAAACCCCTTATTTTCTTATTAACTATTGTAGGGGTGGAGCACGATTGAATTAGTTCTGGGTGAGTCAAAAAAAAAAAAAAAGTTTTTTAATATTTTACGGGACCCTTTCACGTTTTATAATTTTATTTACTATTTTTGAGGTTCTAATAAATTATTCTTTGTTCCTAAATTTTGTCATTCTTGAAGGCTTAATTTGGAGTGATGGAATAGGGTGGAATGGTCATTCTATTTCACTTTCTCATTCTTTTCTCTCACTTGGTGTACCACTTTGAAAGTGGAATGACCATTCCTCTTTTGGAATGATGAAATGACCATTCTATTCTCACTAAATTAAAGTAATAAAATGCAAAGACCAAAAAAACCTATATGCATTCTTCGCACTTTCTCTCTCTACTCTCTGTACACCCCCTCTTGCTCTCTCTCCTCTTTCTTTCTTCACATCTGTACACCCTCTCCTCCCTCTCTTCATATATGCATATCTGTACACCCTCTCTCTCTCTCTCCTCTTTCTCTCTTCACACTTCACTGTATACCATGGATTATATATATATATATATATATATCGCTCTTTATTTGCCTTTTTCGCTCTACAATTTGTTCTCACCAAAACCGTCTTGCCATGGGATGAAAAAAAAAAAAAAAAAAGAGGAGGGTTCGAAGAATGGAATAGATGAAAAACTAAAAATAGAAAAGAATAAAAGAGGTTCACCGGCGTTTGGTTACTGGATTATGCCGTCTGCACTGTTGCTAGTTGCTCTCTTTCTTTATGGTTTTTTTTTTGCTCCGCTCTATCCACTGATTCACTTATATATATATATATATATATATATATATATATATATGTATGTGTGTGTATATTTAAATTGATATACGAAGTATATGTTTAAATATACACACACATACATACATATATATATATATATTTAAACACTCCTATAACATCACACACCAACTGTCCCATACCATTTTTAGTCAATGGCCCAAGCATCTATTGGTATAATTTAGTTTTATTATATGATAAGAATATGTTTTAATATAGTAACTGATATATTATAAGAATATATTTTAATATAATTGGTATATTACAAGCAAAGAAAAATTGAAGAAATTAATTTACAAATCATTTCATTCTAACTTTTTATTTGATCTAACCAAACAATAGTTATTCCATTCTTACATCATTCCCATTTGCATTCCATTCCTGCCTCTTTCCATTCCTGCGCACCAAACTAGGCCGAAATGACCACCACAAATATTTTAGGGATAAAAAGATTAAAAAAAGTCGTTAACATGAGAATTGAATGAGATTACGAAACATAGAGGAGTGTATGTGACAAATCTCATATGAGGTAAATAAAATTTATCCTAAATTAATTTATTCAAAATACTCCTAATGTAATACTATATTGAAGTAACAAAATCAACTTTCATCATCTTTCTAAGAAGAAAAAAAGTAATTTAAATCTTGATTTCTAAACAGTTTTTTTTTTTTATCAAAAAGGAAAAAATAATCATTACATCTTACATTCATTACAAAATAATAATAATAATCATTGTATCTTACATTTTGATAAATGTTAGCATGTAAATTCTAAATCTTTAGTTTGAAAAAAAACAAAAACAAATAAACAAAAACAAAAAATAAAATAAAATAAAATTCTCGAGGGTGAGGATCCTCTCAATTAATTTTTTTCCCCTATACTTTGCGATGCATCCAATAATTCATAACACGACATGTTAGCTATTCAATTTTTATTTTGGATTTTTGAAAATAAAACTATAGGTAGTGGGTTCTTCTATATCAAATAATAGTATAAAATATATATGGCGAGACATCATAATAGTAGGATCCAAGGTAAACTAAGAGAGGTGGAAGCCAAGGCAAACTTGAGAGAGAGAAAAGGAAGATGGCAGTGTGCTAGTACACTATTGACTTATTTGGTGAAGGTTTAGGGGGTGTGGAAAGAGCATAAGAGCTCTCAATGTTTTCGAGGTTCTTTCCTTTTTCCTTGTTCTATGTTGTTAAGCCTTGTCCTCCTTCTTTCTTGATCTTGGATTATCTTATTTTATAGGCCAAGTGAGAGAGTGGGTGATGTCATCCATGACAATGCATGTGGATTAATTAACATAATAATTAAAAGAGATAAATTTCTCAAATAATAATAAAGCAATATTAATTAAGATGGGGATCATTTGTATCGTAGTAAAAAATAATCTCTCTACAAGTTAGGTCAAGGATTGGCTCAATTGGCCCTAGACTTCAGCCACCAAACCAAGTACCTCCTCAGATCCCAGTTATTCCTAAGTCCTGCTCCCAACTCAAGTCTTCAAATCTTTAATTTGATGACATCGTATATTTCACATAACTTACCTATTAACCGTTTGACCAAACTATATGGCCAATATTGATGATGTGGAATTGTCATGTGGACTATAATATATCCAATACCCACATTTAGTCCCCCTCGACAGTTAAGCTTTATAGAATTCGTAGAAGTTAAGCTGTGTATAAATGATTTTTTTTGTTATGATTTTATAAGTGAAAGGGGAATCTTTCGCGATTTTCGAAGGTTAAGGGATCTTATGTTAAAGTGTGATTTAGGAGCAATGTCAAGTGTCTGAGCCTTCTGACTTAAGAAAGGTTTCATGTGAGGTTTCGTTAACCTAAGAGCAGGGGCGGCTCAATGTTATTTGAGACCTTAGGCGAAAAAAATAAAATGGCCTTTTAATTAAATCTACTCATATATTTATGTCAGTATTATGCTAATTATTTATTTTATGATTTTTAAATCTATCACTAAATTTTTCCCAAACTCTAGTAAAATCGTTATTTAATTGGTCATGTGCTTTCTAATAGACACATTTAACAATATAAATAAAAATTATAAACAAAATATATAATTTTATGATAACAAAAATTAAGAAAACTATAAACTAATTTAAGTTATAGAATAATAGAAACTGATTTCGAATAATTTAGTCTAATACTCCAATAAATTCTTTAATAGAATATAAGCGTATTCAAAATCTTATTACAGAGTAAGATTGTGAGATTGTAATTGTAACAATGGAGAAGATGAAAAAAATAATAATTATAATGAGAGAGGAGAAAAAATATATAAGGAGTTAAAAAAAAAAAAAAGAGAAAATAAAAATTAGTAGGAGTCCTAAAAAAATTTAAAAAGTTTCACCAATTTTCACTTAAATATATATTTAATATTTAATGTGTGTATATATGCTGATGCAATGAGGGTGAGAGAGAGCCAAAAAAAAAAAAAAATTATAATAATATAAGGATAGAAATATTTTGGGCACACTTTGTATTTGTCGAGGTTTAATAATATAAGAAAATAAAATATTTAGGTAAGTTATAATATATAAAGAAAAAAAATTTAGGAGCCTTCAAAAAAAAAAGATAAAGAATATAAATCTTTTATGTCAACTGTCAAATTTCTCTATACGTTAAAGTTGAATAATTATAGGAAATACTATAATTGTTTTAAGAAAGTTATAATATATAAAGAAATAAAAAATTATGGGGCCTTCTTATTGATTAGGGCCTTAGGCAACCGCCTAACTTGCCAAGGGCTCCAGCCGCCCCTGCCTAAGAGAATGTCTTAGGGTTTAAGTGATTTGGGAATGGTGTCCCAAGATTTTGACTTAAGGGTGTAAGGGTTTCAAGATTTAGGAATATGGTGTCTCTAAAATGGAAATCTAGTGAAAACTTATGAGAAAAAATTTAAGCAATAAGGAATCCCTAGATGAGGTATCTTAGAGAGGGACATCTTGTTACTACTATTTAATAAAATAAAAAATATGATTAAATCATTATTATTAGTATTATTATTATAAATTATTAATATTATTAAGATATTATTATTATTCTATTTATTTCCATACTATATTCTTAATTATATATTTATGCTACAAAGAGGTTACAACTTTAACTCTATAAAAAGGGTTTCCATACTTTGTGGGAGATATACTTGTAATATATGAGTAAGGCTGCTATTATATATATATGGAGAGTATTTTATATTGTGTTTGGGGCAATTGATAGTCCTGAAATATGCACATTTTAGCCCTAATATTGGGTATAATAGAACTTTTATCCATCTTTACTTTCCCGTTTTAGTCTTATTTTGTTTTATTTCCAATTTCAGGTTAATAAGGTTGAAAAGAGCTTAATCTGATGTCTTAAAGCCTTGAAAAAGTCAACCAAAGTCTTGGGAGGAATCCGAAGCAAAAAGAAGGCTGAGGTGAAAATTTGAGATCTCTGATTGATCAAGCAAGATCCCTAAACGATCGAGACTTCTGATCGATCAAAGCCTCATTCTAGATCGATTGAGCTATTGGCCTTATCTAGATTCAATCTCCAACAACCTCGATCGATTAAGCAATATCCCAGATCGATCGAGCACTTTGTCCTTATCCGAAATAAATATCTTCAACAACCTTAATCGATCGAGCCAAGGCTCCGATCGATCGAACGGGCTTGACAATTGAGAAAATCAGAATTTAATCCTTGATTTAAGAAGGGTCGAGGTGCAATCAAGCAGGTGTCCTTATCTACGTGGTCTGACCATTTTGGGATTATAAGAGTCACCTATAAATAGAAGATTACGCCCATTTTGCAAGGAGTTGGTTGTAGATTGGATTTGGGACATTTTGGAAGATTGAAGATTGAAGCAAATTGGGGATTTTATCTCTCTATTCTCTCTCTAGGGTTTCTCTCAAGGAAGAAGAAGAAGAAGAATACGAGTCCAAGCTTAGAGATGGATTGTGAGCCCACCATGATGACATCTACCTTCTCCATGAGTGGCTAGTTCGTCACTTAGGACTTGATTACAAAGCCGTTTGCAATCCCCCGCAACGGTGCCAAAAAATAATGTGTTCTAAAAACAAGATATTCTTTTCAATTAAAACTACTCGCAATAGCACGAGTCCTTATAGGATACGGCTACGTAAAGGGTGTCGAAACACAAAGATTGCTAGCATATAACAACCAAGATTATAATATTAC